TTTAAAAAAAAAGAATCCTCTCACTGATTGTGTCCACCGCTGGAACACTTCCCTATAGCGGAAGTTCCTACTTGCATACCCTCCTCCGATGCTTTACCTTACAGCAGGCCCTCTGCTATAACTTTTTTCCTACAACAAGTCCTCCTCCATAGCTTTTTCTAGAAACAAATCCTTCTCCGGAGTTTTTTCCTACAACCAGTCCTCCCGCATTCTTCCTATAGTAGGCCCTCATTCGGAGCATTTTTCCTGCGACAGACCCTTTTCCGGAGCTTTTCCTACAGCAGACCCTCCTTTGAAGTTTTTTATTTTTTTTCTGCAGGTCATAGCCTACAATTTTCCCTATAGGTTATCTACTTCTCTGCAAACTTTCCCACAGCATTACCTGTAGAAGACTTCCGCCTATTTACAGATAATGCAAAAACTACAGTCAATGACAATCGCAATCAACTAGAAGTCAATTTTTCTTGTAAGTTGTCTACTTCCCTACAAAATTTCCTTCAACATTACCTGTAGAAGTTCCTGTAGAAGCCTTATGCCTACCTACAGATATTGTAGAAACTGCAGGTAAAGACAACCGCAGTCAACTAAAAATATTCCTAAATGCTCTTTGGGTTGATTACCAACTACAGAATAAAGACTTCAAGTTCTACCTCACAAAAAATCTTTCTCATTCATTGTTTGATATTTTCAAATCCAAGCAATGTTTCAACTTGAGGGGGGTATTATAAGTTATATTAGAAAATAATTTATTCATGTTAAAAGTTATGAGAATTAAATTTATTTCCTTGAATTGGATTTATTGTCTATCTTATTTTAGATTTATTTCCTTGGATTGAATCTATTTCCCTTCCTATTTTATGTCTTCTCCTTTATCTCCAAATAATTATTATGAATTGATTTATTAGAGATGTAAGTGTTATATCTTTCCTCTCATATTTCTTTCCTTTCTTCTTCTCGGCTTCATATAAGGGTATTTATACCACCTTTTATATCAATAAAAAAAATTCCGCTTAATTCTCAAAACCAACATGAAGAATTAAGAGGAATTAGCAAACTAATTAAAGAGAGATTCGATGTATAAATAACATAGATTTAGATGTTTGATTAGCAATGTTTTGATTCTTGTATGATTATTAATTGGTCTAGATCTAGAAAATAATTGAATGATTCATGAAACCAAAAAATTTGAAATAATAGAATTAGATTTAAGTGAAACAAATACAGCATAATCACAACTAAAATCATTATATAAAAATACAGCAATTACTATCAATCATTATACCACATAATAGCTTCCAATAAAATTAACGAAATCTTAACACAGCATTCAGTAGGAAATAAAGGCCAATAAAACATAAACATATAACAAAATTATCATGAAAATAATAGATGACATCAACAGAACAGTGTAATTGCAAAATAAGCGAACAGGAAGACGGAAAACTGTTTTGGCACAAAAAACTTGAAGGATTAAAACTGCTCCAATATCACAAGATAGAGGCATATAATAATAAATACAAACAAACAAACAATGAAGATGAATAAGAGAAAAAGTGTGTGCACAGCACTATCATGGAGATGAAGAGGAGGCTTTTAAAAACAATGACGTATTAATCCTCTTCGAATCAACTGCTTCAAAATAATATAGTTAAGTGAAATAAGATAGCAATTAAATTTTAAATTATTAATTACTAATTAATTTAGACTAACTTTCATATTATAAAATATTCAATGTTTGAATAGCACACATTTCAACAACAACAAGTCTTTGTCCCACAAAGTGGGGTTGGCTACATGAATCACTTTTCTCCATTGTGACCTACTGAGTGTCATATTTTCATTTAATTTTAATAAATTATGATCATTTTTATACAAATGCCACTTCTTTTTAGGTCTGCTGCTACATCCCTTAGTATAAATCAAATTTAAATCATCTACTCTCCTAACAGGATCATCAAATAGTCGACGTATAGTATGACCAACCATCTAAGAAGACTCTCTCTCTAATTTTGGCTGCCAATGGAGCTCTCCAACCCTTTCACGAACATATTCGTCTCACATTTTGTTACTATGTTTAAAGTCACTTATCCACCTGAACATTCTCATCTCATCACCACTTGACTTAATTTAATGCTTCTCTTTTAGATGCCAACATTCTGCACCATCAAGTATTGCAGGTCTGACCACCATCTTATAAAATTTGTTTTAAGATCTAAGCAATGCTTTTCTATCACACAATAAACGTGATGCATTCCTCCACTTCTAGCATCCAACTTGAATTCTACCAATAGCATCTCGATCTATATGATCATTACTTTGAATAATGGACTCGGGACATCTAAACGTTCACTCATTTTAATGACTTGATCGCCAATTATTGCAACCTCGCCACTAGATCAATTACTGTTGAGATGTCATTCTACATATTTAGTTTTAGATTTAAAAAAAAAGGCTTTAGATTATAAACAAAACATGCTTAAACATTTAAAATCCATATCAATTAATTAAAACCTTTACTAGTTTGTAATTGTTTGTTGATATTGTAATCATTAATAAATTACTTAAAATAGTTCATTAAGAAGTTAAAAACGTTAATATATAATATATCTATTTAAACAATTGATCCATAAGAAGAAAAATGGATAAGCTAGGAATCAGGGCTAACAAATAAAAAGAAACTGTTTCTTTCATTTAAGTAAGGGATAATTAGGGCATTATTAAATTTTAGCTGCATGACTTCCTTTCCCTATATTATTATTATTTCTCGGAGAAACCAAACACTCTTTGTAAAAGAGACAACTTTCTCTGATTTTTCTTTTTTCTCATGTGAAACTCTCAAATCAAAAGAATGCGCCAACTTTCCTATAGGTTATTTTCTTTTCTCTTCATTTTGTAACTCCCACAGAGAATGTAAAACAAAATAATGAACAATACACCGAAACAAAACTAACATAAGACATAACCAAGTATAAGAGATATATTGAATTGTGTCCAGTAGGCCTATGATCAAATTTGCATAAACTCTCACAAACAAATAGAACTCTTCCCTAATGAGTTAAAAGATGGGCATTTAGGAAGAAGGGATAGAATCAACTAATGTACGACTCAAAATATATCAATATAGACTCTTATATAGGAGGTGTGACCTTATATCATATAGTTGGATCACCTCAGTAACTATAGAGTAGAAAACTACGCAACAACAATGAAAGATGAAGCCAATGGAATCAACATCTATCGATGGCAGTGATAGCAAAATAAGAACATTATAAGTATCCTTTTCTAATGGCAGGGGAATTGGAGTATACCAATTAAATAACTATATAAGCAACTATAACATTTAATTTAACTAAACTCTTGAATCTGATTAAATTCCACAAATCTCAACCCATGTTGGATGCAACTTTAAAGGTTGGATATAGGAGCGTGTTGGATGATTTCTGTTGTTTATAAATTTAGTTGAACAATTATTATAGAGAAATCATATTTTTAAAAGTTATTTTTGGTACTATATTTTTTTCTTTGAAAGTAAAATAGATAATAAGTTTCTTATAAACATCATTTCTAACAGATCTGATTGTTAAAAAGTTAATTCTCTCCATACAAATTGTTGAAAAATAATAAAAAGTTACAGCTAATCAAAGCTCTAACAGATTTCAGAGAAGCTTCCCCAAATTAACCCATGATAAATCTAGTCAAATCATGAATTTAGTAAAATAGAGTTTTTGCCTAAACCAGAATATGGTAGCATACTTTTAATAGAATATACGGCTGGATCTAACGTAAATCCATCAAACACAAGAAGTAGGAAATTTTTATCCGGTGCTCCGCTAAATCGAATTAAAATCCTGGTTGCAGCCAGACAGGAGTGACGGACCTGAATCGGTAGAGCAGAGAGAAGGAAGCAATTCCTTAAACCATCCTAACTGAACATGCAGAGAAAGATTGGTCCATGTGACGTACATGCCCCTCTCCCTGAAGAAGCTTACGTCAAGCGCAGTAGCCCCAGCGACGGCGAAGTTCACCCCTCGCCGGAACCGTCCATTGCCAGGCCCCTCAAGGAAGGGCCGGATAAAAGGAAATCCCATCCCGTTCGCTGCTCGCAAATGGGTTACGTAAGGCTCTATGAAGAAGAACAACAAGAAGAAGAAAGACAACAGAAAGAAAGTGCGAACACGGACCGATGAAATCGATAATAAGTCGGCCATCGGAGAAGCGGCCAGTTGGGCGATGGAAGAATGTCTCGCCGTAGGGGGGCCTGGCAGCTTCGATGTTACCCTGTTCGGATATCAGAAGGTTTCCGGTATCGGCGATGGAGTCGCCGAAGCTGAAAATAGAGGAGAAGCAGCCATTGGCGCCTGCAATAGAATGAAGGAATACGACAACGAGCTGGAGCAGGGCGGGCGAAGCAATGGAATGAGTCGACGGGAAACTCAAAAGGCTCGGAACCGGATTTAAAGCCATTCCCGTGAATGGGGGAGAAAATCTGCTTGGAAGCTCATATGTAATTGAGCCAGTGTACTCCATGAACAAATCCACCTCAAACGCACCACCCAACACCCATGGCTGTAAATGAACCAGTGCACTTCATCAACAGATCGAACTCGACTCCCCAGATAAAGTTGGTTCAAATTACTAAATAAATATATTTAAATAATTTTTAAAAACTCTTAAATGAGCTAAACAAGAATATAACCAAAGTTATTCTTTTATATTCACGAACAAATACATTTATTATTCACTTATAAAATAATCGATATTATATATATATATATATTATATTTATTTTTTTGAAGTTTATATCTTATATGTGAAATTCAAGACTTATCTCCATTAAGGAGTATTAAACAATGGAGTTGTTTTATATATATTTATTATATATATATTATTTTTATATTTAATTTTTTGAAGTTTATATCTTATATGTGAAATTACAAGATTTATCTTGACTAAGGAGTATTAAACAATGGTGTTGTAGAATTTTGCCAACAATGATGGTTTATTTTTATTTTTTTTTACGGGAAGCAATGATAGATTGAGAGATTATTTTGTGCAAGCATTCAATGTGAAGTTCTTCATTATTAATATCAACTTGAATGCATTTTTTTTTGGGAAAAAAAATATTTTTTGAGATCTTTTTTTATTTATTTATTTATGATAACCCATAAATGATTGACAATATGATAAAAATGATTATATATTTTTAGAAAAAGCTTCTGCCAAGTAAATGATAATCCATATGATATGATAAAGTAAATCATCATTCCTATAATTTTTATGAACAGTTTAGTTCTCCCACTTACAAAATTTTAATAGGAGTGGCCTTATTATTAAGAATTATGTAACTAATTAATAATGTTCAAAGATTTAGATATCATAATTGGCAAATAAGTAGCGGTGATTAGAGTTGTAAAATTATTTATTAATTTTTTATATGAAAAACTAAATTCTTATTTGAATTTATAGCTCTTTTATTAGTTTATTTAAGTACTTATTCTCTTCTCATAAAAAAATCAAGTACCAATCAAGTTCAAGCATTGAAAATTTAAACAAATCAAGCTTGAACAAGTATGAAAACTCATCACAAGCTCATGCCGAACATGAACAACTTATAATTATACCAAGCCAAATTCGAACAATGATATAATTCGCTCGACTCGGCTCAATTACAACCCTACCTTCTCTTATGGATTCACAAAATAGCCGTCCGTATAAAATTTCTAAACTTTAAATTTTACATACCGACCACCCTACCTATAGTCAAAAGTTAGTGATGAGATGATTTGTAAGAAAAAATCAAAGTTTAGGTGTTCGATATGTGAATACATAAATTGGGTGGTACGTGGGTAAATATCCCAATAATAAAAAAGAAGCTAAGTAATTAAATTAATCGTATCTTATTCTTTAAATATTCCTCATATTTATAGATGAGTGGATATGATGACGATGTTACATATTTGTCACTGTTTTGAAGTGGTATGTATCAATGTATTTATAGTATTTATTAATATGAGCTTGTATCCTAGTTGTTTTCCTAGCTCAGTTAGCTAAGCTCAGCCAATTGCTATGAGAAAGCTAACTCAATGCAATAGCTAACCCCCTGTTAGAGCCAAACCAAAAAAAGATCCATTTCTGCAAAGTACCTCTGACCATCTTGTGGAGACCTAAAAGACTGCTCACCATGGATCAAAGATAGTCAACCAATCTAAATCAACGATTGAATCATCTAAACCAAGCTCAGCCAACCGAGCTTACCTCATGATCCTGAAGTCAACTAAGCTTAGCTAGCCTGGCCAGAAGATAGTCGGATGATAAGCCAATACTTATAGAATATCTAAAATGCCTTAGTACAACCCCATCTAAATGGGGAAAAGAATATAGTATCACTATTATATTATCCCTCTATAAATAAGGGAAAATTTTTTTAAAAAGGACATTTTTTGTCATAATTCATTATTATCTCACTCTCTATATCTCACTTTATTTTATCCTCTTTTCTTTGGTTATAATTCATGGGCAATCTCGAATTCAATATTCTCAAATGTGCAATAATCGTGGATCAAGCCACCAATAGAAAGAGGAGTCATGCAAGGAAAAAGACCTCATAACAGTGGGACTGATGTTAATGTAGAGATTATCAAAAACTTTGTGGTCCAACAAATCCAAGATCTGAAGAATAAAGTGCTAAAAATGATCAGAGTTGAGTTGAATTGGAAATAGGATCAAAAACCACAATAAGATGTTTTGACACCTAAAGGCAAAAGAGTCCTTCTAACCTTGGAAAGCTAGGATGAAACTAGACACCTTGATAGTGTTGGGTCAGTAATGATAAATGGGAATCAGGTTAGGAGCACTAACAAACTCTGTGATACCTAAAAATTACTACGAAGCAATCAGTCAATCTCACTAGTACGTGTCAGTCAAGTAATATACAAATTATGAGTCAGTGTACCAATCTCACAACGAAATTTGTCACATTCTTCTAAGATGAAAAATTTTAGTTTACTAAATCTCCTAATATAGTTTGAAGTATCAAATGCATAAAGGTTAGAAACTTCAAAATCCTAAATACATTAAATTAAACTAACTTTTGTTGAATGTTTTCTAAAGGTGAAAGGTTCCTGCTCCTGTGACATTGATCTAGTGATTTCTCGATATTTTTCATATGAAATCCCACATTATTATGAACATCATGGAGCAAGTCCTTCTTAGACCATGCAATGTCATAAAAAGTATTGAAAATCATATACAATTAAGGGGGCTTAACCATGTAACATTTCCTGAGAATCCTTTTGTTCCCTATCTACTTTTTAATTTCCTACTCGTAATATATTTATTACAGTAGACTATTGTGTGTTAACTTACTTTTTCCTACAGGCGATAGTTAGAAGTCTTGGATCACAAGAAGTTTGAACATTCTATCGGGTAAAAGTAAAGTAAATTAAGGTAAAAAAAGTTAAAACATCAACATATGGAATCCAAGCACGAATGAGTCTATGAAACAAAATGATAAAACAAAGAGGAAATCACATTTTTTTTATATCACACAAGTGAAAAAATAAGATTAACTATAATGCATGAGAAAAGAAAGCACAAAAATTGTTATTGCATGTATTAAAAAAAAACTACAGAATAGGCAAAAAAATTCAAACTCGAGATAGTCTCTCCTCACACCCACTCGAAACTCTCAGCAAAAAAAATATGAAAAGAGGAAAAAATAGGAAAAACTATCTTGGAGGAGCTCTAATGGTAAATCTTAGAGCCTCAAAGACTCTCTTGAACCTTAGAGGCCAAATCCCCAAGACCAAAAAGTGAATTCTAGGTATTCATACATCTCTTATATAAATTAGGGTTTCAAAACCGCCTCCAAACATTCCAAAAACCGACATAACTCACCATGGAACAATGTAATTACATCATAGACAGACGTAATTATGCTTCCCTCTCTAGTTTGTGGCATAATTATGTAATATTTTCTGGCATAATTATTCCACATTATGCCATATCATTTATATTTTTTTGTATTTTACACATGTTTCAACTCTTTTGCTCCCTGAATTGTGTTATCTTCTACATATAATGCAAAAAACATTGAATATACCTTTCATAAGCAAATTATCATAATAATAATAAATTAAATAAAAAAAATTAGTAATAAAAATTATCACATGTTTGATTCACATCAATTCCCCAAACTTACATTTTACTTACCATCAAGTAATCACATAAATTAGACTTAGTTGAATGATTCACATAGTACTCATGTGGAAATTTTTAATTTTGTCGTGAAAATCATCTCATGTTTGGATTTTCTTTAATCTCTTTTATTCCAGCCTTCATTCAACCCACCTCTATTTGAGCCTAAGCGAATCTCAAAGCACACATATAATGCAAAAAACATTGAATATACCCTTCACAAGCAAATTATCATAATAATAATAAAATAAATTACAAAAAAAATTAGTAATAAAAATTATCACATATTTGATTCACATCAATTCCCCAAACTTACATTTTACTTACCATCAAATAATCACATAACTTAGACTTAGTTAAATGATTTACATAGCATTCATGTGGAAATTTTTAGTTTTGTAATAAAATCCTATAATTTATTGAAAATTATTCGTGAAAATCGTCTCATGTTTGGATTTTCTTTAATTTCTTTTATTCCAGCCTTCATTCAATCCACCTCTATTTGAGCCTAAGCGAATCTCAAAACACTTAATATAGCATTATTAAAATATTTTTATTTCCTAGAGACATTTTTAATTCAATTAATATTCAATTAACCAACTCAAAATCATTTATCGTTTTGTATATTTTAAATTCTATGAATTTTATAAAGAAAGCTTTTTAAGTCGTATTAATTGGGAAAGGGCTTACACACTAATTTTAGATTTTTATGCTCAACCTTAAACTTCTCATCATATTATAGAGAAATCATATTTTTAAAAGTTATTTTTGGTACTATAATTTTTCTTTAAAAGTAAAATAGATAATAAGTTTCTTATAACCATCATTTCTAACAGATCTGATTGTAAAAAAGTTAATTTTCTCAATACAAATTGTTGAAGAATAATAAAATGTTACAGCTAATCAAAGCTCTAACAGATTTCAGAGAAGCTTCCCCAAATGAACCCATGATAAATCTAGTCAAATCATGAATTTAGTAGCCTAAACCAGAATATGGGTGTTTGGTAGCATACTTTTAATAGGATATACGGCTGGATCTAACGTAAATCCATCAAACACAAGAAGTGGCAAATTTTTATCCGGTGCTCCGCTAAATCCAATTAAAATCCTGGTTGCAGCCAGACAGGAGTGACGGACCTGAATCAGTAGAGCAGAGAGAAGGAAGCAATTCCTTAAACCATCCTAACTGAACATGCAGGGAAAGATTGGTCCATGTGACGTACATGCCCCTCTCCCTGAAGAAGCTTACGTCAAGCGCAGTAGCCCCAGCGACGGCGAAGTTCACCCCTCGCCGGAACCGTCCATTGCCAGGCCCCTCAAGGAAGGGCCGGATAAAAGGAAATCCCATCCCGCTCGCTGCTCGCAATTGGGTCACGTAAGGCTCTATGAAGAAGAACAACAAGAAGAAGAAAGACAACAGAAAGAAAGTGCGGACACGGACCGATGAAATCGATAATAAGACGGCCATCGGAGAAGCGGCCAGTTGGGCGATGGAAGAATGTCTCGCCGTAGGGGGCCCTGGCAGCTTCGATGTTACCCTGTTCGGATATCAGAAGGTTTCCGGTATCGGCGATGGAGTCGCCGAAGCTGAAAATAGAGGAGAAGCAGCCATTGGCGCCTGCAATAGAATGAAGGAATACGACAACGAGCTGGAGCAGGGCGGGCGAAGCAATGGAATGAGTCGACGGGAAACTCAAAAGGCTCGGAACCGGATTTAAAGCCATTCCCGTGAATGGGGGAGAAAATCTGCTTGGAAGCTCATGTAAACGAGGAAAAATTATTCGGGTGGTCCTATCTAAATTTTTTTTTTTTGACGGAAATAATCCTGACCGTCAACGTGATCTACGGTCAAGAAAATAAATTTAAATAATTTTCAAAAACTCTTAAACGAGCTAAACATGAATATAACCAAATTTATTCATTTATATTGACGAACAAATACATTTATTGTTCACTTATAAAATGATATTAAATTTATATATATATATATAT